GTTGTTTGTTTTTATTGTTTTCATTAAGATGTTTGTAGACAGAAGAAATAAAAACAATATGTGACTTAGACTCAAGGCAGCTTTGAGAGTTTTATGTGTTGTTTTTTTGAGGGGGAAATGCATTGTTTCCTGCTTTATTGCTCTTGAATCTCCAAGAGTGTGTTTGAGATTTTTTTGGTGGTTTTTTATAAGTAGAGGACTTCATATGACTTAAACTATTTCCACCATTATTGATATTAAAGAGGTTTTTTTTGAACCACAGTGAGGGAGATGTAGAAGTGTGGAAGGAAACAATGTTGACTTTTTGAGCTATTCTTCATAAGTTATGATTGGAGTGATGGTGTGGAGTTCTGTGTTCTGAGGACAAGCATGTGGAGTGGTTCTATCACTAAATGTTATGTGTGAAAGTAGATTTTGATACTTGGTGATTCTTATCCTCTCAGTTGATGACTTTGTTTTCAGGAACATGCAGAGATCTTTCTTACTAAATGTTGCAACAAAGACAGTTATTACACTTTATTTGCATTCCTGGTTAGTTATTGTGTTGATCTTTTCTAGATGGTATAAAAGGAGACTTCCTTTTCTTGTAGTTAGTGAAATTTCCTTCTCTGTTCTTAAAAACAGTCCGATCCAAAATTTTGGACTTCTGAAGTCCAGCTTTAGCAGTGGTGTCTTTTGCTACTTCTTAGGTTGTTACAGATCCATTTTCAAAATCTTTAAAATGGGTGAGAGACAGGAAAATAGCAGAACTGCATGAGTGCTTATCAATTTTGCTTTGTATGTGTAAAAAAGATGTGTATACATATTACTCAAGGGCTCAGAGGAAACATTGTGCTGCTTCGTCGTGAGGTTATCTTAACAGGATTTGCTATGAAGCTGTCATGCAGATATGAAATTCCACATACTTCCTTGGACTTCTGCGGAGAATGCAGCTTCCATTAATGGCTGTTTGTTTCCTCCACATGTGGTTGCAGAAGAGCAATGGTGAATTGGTGTGTTAGATTGGCAGCCATTGATGAGATCCTCTCCAGGTTTGCAACTGGGGGGTCTGACTTGTGATATACCTCTGGTCAGAGAGTGAAGTAGTCTCAGGAAGGGGACTGTTTGTAAAACATGAGCGAGGTAATTTTTGTGTGAGAAGCAGCACTACACATCTGAAGCCTGTGTTCAGGACTGTTTTTTTTATGGGTTTGGTTTTTATGCAACTAAGGAGTTATGGGTGTGGAAGAGTGAGTGAAGTGAGGGTTGATTTTTGTGGTTAGCTGTTTTATTTCATTAGTCAAATGTTAGATATGAGCTCTGGACTTGCTGAATGCTAACTGAACGTGGCAGTCCCTTTTGGGGTGGAAGCCAGTGTTCTCTTCTTAGCAGTACTGATGCTGCTTATTCAGCTGTGAGTCCTCAATGGGCGTGAAGTGCTCAGAGCTATTGTACGTAGTCTTTTGTAATATGGAGAATGGGAGAGGCTTTACTGAAACCAGTTATATATCATTCTCTTCAAAAGTGAGGGAACGTGTCGCAGTGCGCTTATATTAAGCCCTACCCAAGCTCAAAAAGAAGAGTGCAAGTAGCATAAAATAATCACTTTAAAGTTCAAATGTGCCACAAAGCTTAACTTTGTCTTACATGTTCACATGTGTTGAACCAAAAAACAGTGCTAAGACTGGTCTGTATTATTTGCTCCATTTTCCTTCAAATCAAAGGCAAAATAACAGCTAACTGACAGTGCAGCACTGCATGGCCTAGTGCTTTTGCTTCCCTGTCTGGAAGGGGCCAGAGGGAAAACTTGCATCTGTTGGTATGAAGATGCACTACATACCCCAGCTTCTGCTTGCCTTGATTAAGGTGTGTGGGTTGTGGACCTTCCAAGCAGTTCAGCTCTGTGCTGCGCTGAAGTAGTGCAGGTCTTATTGCACGCTTACAAACCATGTACTTGTGCTAAATCATGGTAAACAATGACTGAAAGCTCACAATAAAATGTAGGTTCCCAGAAATAAAAGCGTGGTGCTGGAAAGATTTTTTTTCCTTTTTAATTAAAGTGTAGGTCCGGATAAATCTCGGTTTTCAGGCTTTTATGGTACTGTCATTCAAACATAGTCTTAAGTTGTCCAAAATCGCAGGATATATGAGGAAGGATAAGGAAACAGTATCAGCTGTTAATTGCAAAATATTTAACGGTGAAAGTAAAGAGCAAACTGTAGGTATATATTCTGTCATATGCACCTGCCAGCTTCTCAAATTTCATTTTGCTGCAAATATTAAAAAGTTTTTAAGGTGGAATAAAACAACATGGTTGAGTAATGACTTAAGCTATGTAGAACATTTGCACAGATCGACCTTGCTTTTCCTCTTTCATTCTGGTACGAAACTGTGAGTGTAATAATGAAACTTTACACAGCCAAAAACTGAAAACAAAATAAAAATAAAAGTTCTTTATATTGTTTATGGTTTGTCAGTCTGATTCTTCTTTGTTTGGAATAGAAAGATTCTTTCACAGGGTTCAGTACAACATGATGTTCCCCTTGTGGCTGGATGAAGTCAGCCAGGCTATCCTGGAGCTATCCTGGAGCTGTGTATTTTAAGCTGCAGTGGCCAAGCTCCTGTGCTGACAGAGAGGGCTGTTGCAATTTTCTGCTTGCAGGGTGCAGGAATCTAAGATGTTCAGCAGGGAAGATGGAAACCATCCACCCAAGGCCCACAAGACAGTGCACTGAGACTGCCTTCCTTCATGTCTTGTTGCAAAGGGAGGTTCTCTAGAACTGTTTGGTTTTTTTGCTCTCTGGGAGGTTTAGGGCCTGTTTTGATTGCCAGTCAAAAAAATCCAGATCTTTTGACTGATAGACTTTGTTTTTCTTTGAAGACCCCAACCAAGAGCATCTGCCTTGTTTTTGTATGGAAAATAACAGCTTAGTGGAGATAACGCATGGCTGGAACCCAGGGCTCCTAGTATTCCAGTCATCATGGAGTTTAAAAGATAACTCATTACATGAACTATGGTTTTCTTACTCTTAGAGGAAGTTACAGTGCAAGACAATAATACTAAGAACTCCATAGTCAAAAGGTTTATGTATTTCTTAGTGATCCCCCAGTTAAAAGTATCAGAATAATATTGGGTAGATGCCAAGATGTGTTTTTGTAGTTTTGCTTCACTGTAGCAGATTGCTTTCTGCTGCTGCCTTTTAGCCCTGTCATCCTCTGTTGCCTTGTGACCACATGTCTGAGAGGAAAGCCACTGTCTCATACGAAGTTCTCCTGACAGTCTGGCCTTCATGCCCTCTCTGTACACATGCTGTTTTTCTATCCATTTTTGTGCTGATCACTGATTGACCAGTTCTGAAAGCCCATCAAGCTCACATGTTTTACAGTGCATTTGAAGTAAACCAGTAAGAGTCTGAGGTCTTAAGCTGATTTCATGCTTGTGATAAAACTACACCAGCTGCTGTAGCTCCAGAAGAATGATGGGACAGTGCTCAGGGCTCTGCCTGTGTTGGGGTCTGGGCAGTTCTGAGATGAAAACAGAACCCAGAAACAGTTAGTTAAGAAAAATAGAATCTGAAGACAAACAAGTGTGTGTGTAGTTAAAATATATTTGTACATGTACAGTTAACATATACTTCATATTTTTTTTCTTTCTTGAACTGCTTCCTTGAAAGTGGAAAACCACTTTCTCAATGTTACAGAAAATGGGGTTACAATTAAAAAAAAAAAACACCAAAAAAATAATACTCTAAAACCATCCTACGTCTAAGTATGGTAACATGGAGATACTAAAAATGAGAGCATGTAGCTTGGTTCTGCTGCTTCTACTGAAGCATCAGAGCAGGGCATACTCAGACACTGCAGTCTGCTGTGCCTGGTGCCCACTTTTCCAACACAGAAGGGAATCAACCCACGAAGCTACAGCTGTAATGACATATGTGATCATGACTCATTAATGTAATTAGCACAATCTCAGTGAAATAGTCAACAGTATGAAAAGGCTGAAATGATAGTAGCAACATCAGAACAGAGTTAATGACTAATTACAAGGCGGTAGGAGACACCTGTGACTGACACAGTTCAGATCCAGACCCAGTTTTGCCTGATCTGTACTGACTATAGGGATGGCACTTCCAATTGTCAGTATAAGCAGAGTTATGCTCTGTGTCTTTAACGTGCAGGAAAAACCTAAATGCAGTCATCAATAAATTAATCTTCATGGTTGAATGAAAATGTCCTGGAGATACTACAGAAGTAGATACAGGAAGTAAGCACTGCTTTGCTTGCTGCAGCATGGCTCTCTTCATTCTTTCCTGCACGTTTTATCTTGGTGAACAAAGCACATATCTTGCAAAATGCTCATTTGTAATTGGGGATAGATGGAGTTCATTACTTAAAACAGCAATCTGGAGCAGGTCCTTGATGAAGGCTCTCCTTGATGTTAGGCGTACATGGTGAGCTGCAGCCACTAAGGAAGAGAAGGAATTAAAGATCAGGCCAAGTTGAATGTGTGAGACAGTGCTGGGAATTAATAATGTAGTACTGGGGTGTTGTGTTAGAAATACTGGCATAAAGCAGTTTACCTCCAGGACATTGAGTTTTATGATTCCATCTCCATCTTTATCGAAGGCATGGAATGCCCCTAAATCAATGACAGAAAAATACACGGGATAAATTATTGTGCAAGCAAAGTGTAAGGATGATCCCATGCAGCAAACCAAATCGTGTTCCCACTGTGTTATCCAAACTTGTGCACATGTTTACTTTTTTGGTCAGCAAGTATTTCTGCTATGCTTTTTCATAGCTAATACAAGGAGATACATAATGGCTTATTATTTTTTGTGTTTGTATGGGATGGCTGTCACAACTTAGCACATATCTTACATTATTAAAATTGTACATAGGCAACAGTGCTATGTATAATAAACTCTCCTTTAAATATCAGGGTGTGTTTTGGGGCAGGGGACAAGGTTGTAAAATGAAGGCAGCCACTCACTGAACATAGCATCCAGTCTCACAAAGCAGCAGATGAAGCTGTCAAAGTCGATGTTCATGTTCTTGTCAGCGTAGCGCATCGTGATGATGTCATAGAGCTGGTTGTTCAGCCGAAACCCTGCAGGGGGGCCAGAAATGGGTTTGATTGTTCCTTATACAACCATACGGAATCCTCAGCTTAAATGAGAGCAAGTAGGTAATTTTTTGCATCGTTAAAAGTTAACCTGCACACAGCTGGGCTTCCTGATGCACATCCCGTGTGCTCTTAGTGCAGTTGCACAAACGTTACACAAACTCTGCTTAAATTAAAAGGGTAAAACTAGGCAAGTGTGAGTGCTGACTTAGTACTACTTTGATTTTGATCATTTGTGGGACTGAGATATATATGAGAACCTCTGCTGGAGGAAAAAAAAAAAAAAAAAATATCTCTAGGGCCCCTCCTTAAAAGGCTGGGCTGTATTCCTGACCTTGCCCTGTAATGCATCAACCAAAATAAGGTTTATTTGGCTGCTGGGCATTGGACACTGGGGGAATTACCTGCATCTTTGACTGCATTGCGCATCTCATAGCTGTTAATGGTTCCTGAATGGTCAGCATCGTAATGCTTGAAGATTTTCTGTGAAAAGGAAGTACACAGTAGAAATTAAAGTTTATACTTTTGTAGGACCTGCCTGCTGATGTGAGTGCTACCCTGCAGCACCTGAAGGCTTTGCCATTTGCCTTATATCACCGTGGCTGCTATGCAGCAATCTGTGTTATTCACATACAGCTCCCCTCACTTCTGACACGTGAATTAGATCTGTGCTGTGAGAAGAAAAAACTTCCCCCTGGAGACCCTCGTCATTTGACTTGAATTTATGCTGTTAATCCTCTCTCTTAATTGCCCTAATTAAGCTAATTGCGGTGCCTGGCTCTATTTCCCATCCTCCTCCTCCATCTTGTGTGCCTCCCCCCTTCTCAGGGGGAATCTCCTCACATGAATGCTGTACCTCTAGATGTTTGCTTAGGCTAAGAAAATGCTGAAGGAAGATGTTTTGGTTGCAGGAGCTTTTTTGGTTGCAGGGTACATAATGAGGTCTGGTTTCCCTACACAAGCTTTTGCACTGTGGAGCTAGGAAGAGCAGCGCTACCTGCCAGCTTTTGATCTTGTCCCAGAGGTGTCGGAACTCATCAAAGTTGATCTTCCCTGAGCCATCTGTCTGCGATGCAAGCATTCAGGTAAAAAAACCATTATTTTAAATGGAAAACTAATTATTTCTATGGATTAGGGGTGGTGAGTGTGAAACCCAATTCAGGATTTCCTGAGCACTGAAAGAGGGCTGAATGGCACAGTGAAGTGTTTGTGAGCGCTTTGGTTGTTAAGAGTGTTATTTTGTTTCAGGATTGTGAAGCACTATTTCCTTGTGTAGTAATAAACCATTAATGCAGGCAGGAGACTTGCTCTTGGAGCTGTTATAATGTACATAAAGCAGGGTGTTTTAGGGGCTTTTTCAAAGTGCCCCCACTGGTGAAGTTCCCCCAAAACTGCTTAAGACAAACGAGTTTATCCTGAAGTGAAGCTTTTTCTGCCTTGCTGAAATGAATTGAGAATCAAGCAAAGTGCTGACTAAAATAATTTACTGAACTGTGTTCAGCCTCCTGCTGTTTGTGGTTCTAGGCTGTAATTATAAGTTTGGTCTGGTCTGGTTTGAATGTGCTTATGTTCCCTCAAAATCATATGTTATGGAAGCATATGGAAACATAGTTGTTTTCCTACTCAGGTAGGAAAACTGAGTGATGCTGTACTGGAGGTAGGAGGTAATGCCACGTGACATCTTGCAGTGTGTTTTATTGTACTTGCTCTGAGACAGTTGCTGTATACTGAGTGCTAAGCACAAGGTGGATTGTGTGATGTGTTGAAAATGTAAAGATAAGAGAGAGACACTAAATTTATTGGCAAGAATTGTAGTTCTGTTGAGATGACCTAAAGAAATGGTATCATACTCCATAGTTCTGTGTTTTGAGATATTTTCATCTGCCAGCTATGCTAACATCAAGATGACTGCAGTTAATGCATGCCACCTTGGAATGCTGAGTTATCTGACAACAGCCTGTAACACACTGGCCTGCTTTCCAGCTTATTAAAAACAATTTGTGTGTGTGTGGTCAGGGAGTAAAACTCAGGTGGAGCAGTGTGCTATCAGGCACTCCTCTTTCACTGGCAAAGGATACATCCATCAAAGCAATCATGCTGCGGCAGGATTCTAGTTCAAATCCTTCTGTCTTTAGGTCCTTATCTGAAATAAATGATACAAAAGACCACGTAAGTCAGCAATTTCTTCTTCCTCTTAGGTAGGAATCTGAGTACTCAAAGTATAAGCCAAACTGACTTAATTCATCCCGTGAGGTATAAGTGAGAAAAAATATCTGTAAAGGCTCTAAGTAACAGTATTGCTTGTGTCTCATAGGTGAGTTATGACCTGCTATATACAATAAAAGTCTTTGGAAAACTCTAAATCAATTTCCAGTTAACTAAGCAAGCCTAAGAGTTTGTAGGCTAAAAGAACTGCTAAATGGGAAGAAAGTTCCTCCCCTCCATTAAGACTTGTTTAAAGGGACTTTGCAGTCTGCTAGAAATGTTGTATTAACATTTGTTGGTGCTTCCAATGAACTCTTGCTCATTTCTGTATTATCCATATGTGATCACTCATAGAGACCATCTCTATGAAAAGTTCTCTAGCTAAAGCCTGCAGAAGTGAAAGTAGAAAATCTGTGAATTTGAATAAATAATTTTGAGAATGTCACTCAGGAGTGGAAGGGTATGTTATAGCATAGCTGCCTTTATCTGGGGTTACTGAAAAGCACATTCAAACTCACGTTTTTTAACAACGTTGTTGAGAACATTCCTGAGTTCTTCAGCATTGATCTCCATGTCCTGGTGGGAAACGTGGGGACGGTACAGTTAATTGCAACATTCCTTATTATGAAAATCATTATATGAATAGATATGCTAAAAGCATGAAGTCTATGGTCTCTTTTCATCATAGTGCGTGATCCAAAATAGAGAGCTTTCTATCTTTGTATAATCTTTCTTGAGGCCACAGCTACACCTTCAGTATGAAGCAAATCTAAAGTGACTGCACAGTATTTATTAAAAAACATTTGGGAGAACAGGCAGTAATTCCAAGCCGAAGTATAAGCAAAATGTGAAAATCTCTGCAACCCTTTTAGCCTCTTGGTTGATGTAGTTTTGATCTGTTCTGATTTCTTTAGTTCAACATGCAAACATGTCTGAATACATACATGTATCTATGCATTACTTACACATACTATGCAATACTGATTAAGAAATCATTAATAGCCTCACATAGTAGTGATAGAAGTAAGAGCCCGAATTTAAATAAGGTTCCTTTGTACACAATGAAAATAAGTTGCATATGCATTTGGGCATAGCTGTCTGCTTAACTGAATTTCTATTTGATTTTGCTTATCTTCAGCTCCCAGAGGAAATTTGGTGAAGGAAAACTTAAGTTTTCTATGTTTTGAATCTGTGAAGAAGTTATATTAGGTGCTGCTGTGGCTTAGCTGCTCTGCAGAGGTAGGGATTGGTCGTGTACTCACATCCCCTGCAATCTGTCGGAAAATATTCCTGAACTGTGTTTCCTCTTCACTCTTCTCACGAGCTTTTGCTGAAGAACGCTGGAAAGATACAAGCAAAGAACACATGCAATGTTAGCTTTGCAGGAGAAAGAAGGGATCTGGGTGCTTCACCCCCTTCACACAAATAAGCCTCTTAGTCATAGTGGAACTCTTTAGAGGAACAAGTTATCCTCATGGACTTCTCCCCTTTCTTTCATTCAATGCACTCCTTAATGAGCCTGCTGCATCATTACCATCCCCTCGTTGTTCTCATAAGTCCTGAAATAAATCTGAATGATTACTTTCACCAGTAGATCTTTACATTCTGATTTTTTTATTTTTTTTTTTTCATTTCAAAACACTGCAAAGGAGAAATTTGGACCAAAAGAGAAAAACATGCTCCATAGCTCCCCTGTAGCCTATGAATTGTTCAGATGGGCTTGGTGGCTTTAGAGCATCTTGCAGTGTGGGAGGCCCTGTTCTGGATGCTGTAATACTGCATTAGATAGCCTCACTGTTATCATTTCCATCTTTCTCAGACATGTGCAGAGAGCAAGCATCAACTCTGCAACTGTTAAGTATCATAAGGACACTCCTTTGTCCTGTTCCTGTATTCTCTCCAGCTGCCCTTATAATGTTGGCCAGACCAAGCTCTATCCCCCGCCTTGCCAGTTGCTGCAGAACCTTTTTCTCATCTACGTGGGTTTTTTCACCATCTTTGCCAGCATCTTCGTCTGTTGTCAGCTCCTTGTTGCTGTTTGCTCTGTCAGAAACAAAGATGATAGGCTAGAAGAAGAAGGAAGAGAGCAGAAGAGAAGTAGAAATTACACAAGAAATAGTGTTAGGGAAAGTATCTGGGGCTGTCCATTCTGTGGCAAAGCACAAGCAGCCAGATCTGGGAATGCAAAATAAAAGAAAAGAGGAATTTCTCAGGTTACTACTATGCTCATGCTGAAAAAGAAATCTGCAGAGCTTGTGTAGGAGCTTGTTAATTAAATGAGGCATGTGTTAATTTTCTATTAATTGCTGAGGCATTCAACTGTAAGGAGACGCATGCAGTTGTTCTGTTTTAGTATATTTAAAGCAAGGAAAACTGCTATCAGATGTGAATGTGTTATCCTGGATAAATAACTACAATTGACCAGTCTTAAGGTTAAAGTGCTACATTTTCAAAATCCTTGTAAGAAACAGAGATCACTCTTTTATGTGGTGCTCTGATTTATGAAGTTTCATGGACTACTTTGGTATATATGAAAAAGGAACGCAAATTAGAGTCAACCACTCTCCTCTTCAAAATCTCTCCCTTGTGGGCTTTTTTGTACCCTTCATCTGGCTGATAATTTTCCTTGTAACCTCAGAGTATGTTTCTTTTGTTTGCTAAATGTATTGCATAGACTCAAAAGGGCGATCCTGGACTCTGGTGAGCAGAAACTGCAGGAAGGAGGAGTAGCTGCATTGGGCAATGGAGGGTGTGTGTCTGGAGGAGGGAGATTCTCACTGGGAAAGGTTGAGGATACCTGTGGAGGGTCAGGCAGGCAGGATACTTAAACTTAAAGGATCAAGCTCATGAAACTGAAAGGTTTATGCTTTTGCCACCCACTTAAGAAAGAGAAATATCTGATGCTATAGCTGTACTTCATTTGATTTTTTATATAGGAGGACAAAATCTTTGCTGCCTGAAAATGGTCTCTTGTCTCCAGCATTCTTTATTAACTAGATCATCTTCCAGAAGCAGAGAAATCACTAATGGTAGCAAGCAACTCCTGCTGCATTCACTGCACATGCATCTTGTCTTTTGACACTCAGCATGTTGCACAGGTACCCACCTTGCCTTTTTTCTTCTTCTATACAAACAGAAACAAAATAAGAATAAAGTGCTTTTTAAAAGAATTATGGATTGTACCAGATCACATTGTTAAATAGCAATGTTTCTTTTTTTTTCTCATATTTGTTTTTCCCATTCCTGTAGTCATACTTTTTTTCTTCAATTTTGTACATTCACATAGATTTCAAATCTCAAAAAAAAAAAAAAAGGG